AATTTTCATTCGCTCTTTCACCTGCAATATTTTCAGAAACTTTCACTCTTTAAATTGATTTAGAAATAGGAAAAATATTTTTTAGATTCTAATTTTGCGATAATTTGTGATGAATGGAAATTTATTCAAAAATTTCTTCAATGTTGCGGTTTAAAATTCTTAGAACAATTCTGTCAACCACATGGTAATTTTTCTTTCGCTTTTTAACGACTTTTTAGAATTTTTTTCTTTCGATTTTTCAGATTCTTTTTTCACAAATTTCGATAATTCGGTTTAATAAAGATTTGCCAGATTTGACAAAATTTTATTATAAATGTAAATCTTCTTCTTCTAACAGCTCTCGCCCATTACTGGTTAGGCTGGCTCCAATGGCTGTAAGCATAAGACGCTTCCAAGCGGCGCAATCTGATGCCATCGTCGGCAGGAACAGAAACCATTCTTTTTTCCATCGTCTAAGTCCATATAAGTTTGCTGGTCCACTTATATGTTCACAATCTTTTCTGACCATATCAGTACAGGTCTTGATTGACCCATTTCGCTTTTAACGCCACTCATCATACAGTTTAGCAAGTAACGAAATATGAGACAACTCCAGTGATTGACGACGGAGAACGTGCCCTAACCAGCGAAGGCGACGCTCTGTGATAACATTATAGATGCAAGTGGTTATTTGAAGGTGGATACGATCAGATGATTATCTGCTCGACGGATCAGTAAAATGTACCTTAGATAAAATTGGTCAAAGGCTTATAAGTTCTTAATATCCTCCACTCTCATTAGCCATGTCTTAGAGCCATAGAGCAAGATCGAACGAATCAAGACCATAGGGGTCATAAATATTAATATAAAATCATGTAAATATTTTTTTTTTTTAAAGAATCCTCATCATTACTGGTCAAACTCGCTCCACTGTCGCATTGGGCAATATGCCAGGGAGTCCGTTAGCGACAGAGATACAGGTGAGTCGCCAGTGAGTCGGATTTTTGTACAGGTTTACTCCTGCGGGGAATCGGACCTCAGCATCGGTGCTCCCAATTGAGCAACAACCCACTGAGCCATTTCTATCCCACTCATATAAAATATAAATTTTCAGCTTCGATGACTATATGTAGGAGCGAAAAAATTCGGCCATGTTTTAATGTACTTTTACAGTGGTTTTATGAGAAATTTGATCGGCTCGCAATAATTAGTTATTTTATTTTATATCCTCTTAAACTAAACGTTGTGATTGTTTTGAGGTTGGTTTTTAAAAAAAAATTTTTTTTCTAGTCGAATTATAATTTAAAAAATGATTTATCGCATAAGAATTTGTGATTTAGTGAAAAAAAAGCCTTTTAAGTGAATAAATCATCAACTTTCCTTTTCTCAGATAATTCAATTTTAATTTAATAAAAAACGAAAAAGTGTTTATTTGTCTTTTTATTATACTTCGCCTGAGGCTCAGGCCATGTTCTACGCTTGGCTTGGCCAAGGATTTCTCTGGCCAAGCCTTTAGGCAAGGCTTAGGACTAAACCAAGAACTAATCCTAGGCATGGGAGAATTATTCCGAGGCTTGGCCAAGGCTTAGGATTAAACCAACCTTTTAAAACTGTAACGGAAGTCTATGTTAAAAGTATTAAAATTATAAAGAAGTCCATGTTGGAAGATAAGATGAACCTGGAGATAAAAAGTCTCATATCATCTCATATCATATTTAAATTATTTAGAAAAGATATCGAAGAACTCTCTTGTGAAATTATATACAACAATAACCGTCACATTTACAGGTAACTTTTCATGCTTTGAAAATATTTGAAATAATAAATTTTTTCAAATAATTCGACTAGAATTTCTTCAATAACAAATGATGAAAGAGAAGAAAATTTCCCAATTTTTTTGATGCTAAAAGAGAAAAAAGAACCAAAATTTCGAAAATTTACTATATTTTGAGAATTCAAATTCAAAAGCTAAACGCTTATTTTTCATAAGCGAAAATTTTCAGTTTTTATAACTTTAGGCACTGGGCAGAACTGGAATTATCTGATAGTGGAACACAAGTGTTACTCAAATCAAATATATTTAGTACAGTTATATAGGCTCAATAGCTTGAAATTATTAGAGCCCATCTCTAGAACTAACAAATTTAAATTGAGGCACAGTGAGGACCAAAATGAAGATTTTTATCTTAATTAATTCGAAAATTTATGAAATAAAAGATGAATTTTATACTATTGCATTGTTACGTCTTTTACTATTATCTTTATTATAACCTTATACCATTGCATATATTATGTATTATCCATATAAAATAATTATAAAATAAAATAAAATATAAAATGGTTCGAATTTTTTTTGTTTTTGAGAAACTACCTAATAAAGAATAACTTTTCAGTTTCAATATATAATTTTTCATATTAGTTGTTTTTAATCGAAACATAGGGCTATTTGTCCTATCTAATGAAATCGCTTTTCTTTACTGCGATGCTAATAACTTAGATGCACTTCTCTATATTACAAACTATACAAACTGAAATTAAAAATATTAAAATTAAAAATGGTTAATTGATGGTCAATTACTATGATTGCTTGAGATCATTCGCAATTTCTTTATAATAGTAAAATAATAATGATAATAAAATAAATAAAATTGCATCATAACAAATAACGATATATTTGAGAATCTGATACGAATAACGATTTCATAAGTTGATTTCTCATTTCATGCGACCAACTAACTGATTCTGGCATAGATGGATAATAATTGACTAACTGTGGAATCACCAAATATCGTATCCTACGACCTTTTGACGCCTTGGTATCCACTTTCTTCTTTTTCGACCGCTTTTGGCGTAAATTTTCAATTTCAAGCCAGCGCCTAAATTTACAATCTACAATCAACTACTCTCTACTAATTTCTTTACAAATAATTTTGAGAATCTGAACAACTAATTCATAGATTCATAAAGTGATTCCTTATACCAACTAACTGATTCCGGCATGTATAATAATTGACCAACTGTGGAATCACCAAATATCGTATATTACGACTTTTTGATGCCTTGATATTTACTTTTTTCTTTTTCAACCGCTTTTGACTCGACTTTTCTTTGTGAAATTTTTTACATTATGTGCTTAAAATAATTGATAACCTGCTCATATAGACCGGATCATCAATTTGAGCTGTTTTTTTCTCGATGATATCCTTCAATAGTTGTTGGTAAAAATCGTCATCGTCGAAAATTTCAACATCATATGTTATCTTGAAAATATTTCGGATATTTCGATATTAGATTAAACTTTATTATATTAAGAATGTATAAAATTGGAGCAATTTCCAGGAAATAAAATTTCTTTTCAGTTTTGATTTTTATATGGAAATTTAAGCCATTTTACCTCAGCATCACTTCCAATACGGTCAACATCAGACCTTTTCAGCTGCGTTCTTTTTACCAAACGATATTTATCTCGCATGATCCAAAAATAATGAAAAATAATAGGCAATGAAAATTAAAATTTTCACATTAAAAATCTATGAGATTTCAAGATGGACGATTAAAACCTCCATAAGCGTTAACAAGCTTTAATGAAGAAACAACCTTAACTAAAATGACTCACATTTTCGATTTGCTTAAGAATAAGTGATTCAAATCCAGAAAAATCTTTTTTTGCATTTTTCACCGAAAAATTTCCAATTAAGCGCGTTCTTTCGTCCCACTTCGATAATGTGGAATTTCTAAGTTGTTAAATTAAATTAATTCCCTTTAATTAAATGAAATTAGATGAACTAATTTATTAAATTAAAAACTCAAAAAATTAAAAAAATAGAAAATGAAAGAAATTCATGGGCATACCTGAAATTTTGAAAACGATCGTGACGTTCATTGAGCAGCATTTTGAAAAATTTAAACGATTTCTTTTCCCTGAGACATGGTCCATCTATATTTTTCGAATTACTAAAAATAATGCACAAATACTTGCTTTACAATCACAACAAAACCAATCCAAAATTTAGAATGACTGAAAATGAACCTTTTATGATTTTCGCGTGATGTTGGATCATCTTCATCACTTTTCTCGTCTTCGGAGCTTGTTATTTTTTCATTTTCTGAATCTTCTATTTCTAAAAATTTAAACTTAAGGGTTAAAAAACTTAAGGGTAACATAATACTTCGTCGTCTTTACTAATTTTAAAAACCATTTTATCCACCTTATAAATACTTCTTTGCCTTCAAAAGAAAATCATTTTTGGAATGGATAAAAGTGCCTTAAAATTCGAATAGCGATCAAAGAGATTGGTTTATTCAAATTCTTAATAACTCGAAATTTACACGAAATTTCTTTTTAAATAAAAATGTAACATACAAAACAATTAGAGAGATACAAAATCATTACCCGAAATATTTTTTCCACTTGAAATATTTTTAGTCTGATTTGAGCCTTCAAGCATTAATTCTTCAATTGCTAATAGAGTAGAAATCATTGAGGCTGTTCTTTTTCGCACTAAAATTAATGCAAATACGCATGCTTTTGCATAAATAAATTATACATTAAAAAGAAAATTTATCAAGAAAATTTCTTTTAAGATTAGAAATGAATACGAAATAACTTAATTTCAATTCTAAAGTTTTAAATAAATGTAAAAATAACCTTGAAGATATTTCCTTTTTGTTTCTCGATCAACACTCCGTAATAAGGATATAGCTAGCATACCACGTGGCAACTGGTTAAAAACACGCAAGGCTGCATGAAGCTTAATTTGTAAATGCATTAATCTATCGTACAAATTTAGTTGCAAACGAATACTTTCACCTAAAAAAGTTAAAAAAGAATAATGCTATTTCTTTTAATTGATAACAATTTAATTAACAAATCTAGATTTATAATCGGTAAAAAAATATCAATATTAATTAAAAAGTATTTAACATTGGCAATAAATAAATAATAAACAGAAAATGCCTTTATGTATTAATGAATCGTCATTTTCGGCAGATTTTATAGTTTCTATCGTTATTTCGCCTTCATCATTCGTCATCGAATTCACTGCCTCATCTATAAAAAATTTTCAGTCTTTTCGCATATAGCAATAAATTTTCAGCCTTTTCGCATATAGTGATTACATAAATTACCAACCATCCTCGTTCATTTCATAATCGTTGTCGCTGACATCGTTATCAGTATTCACCTCAATGAGTCGAAAATCATTAGCGTCATCCTCGTTATCCTCTATTCCATTTTGATCTAGGATGCCTTAAAATTAATTCTCATCTTTCAATCTTTCCTGCCAAAAAATATCAAAAAATTGTTTAAGAATTATGAAATATATTAATAAAATAATGAATTATTACTTAAGTGTAAAAAAGAAAACTAAAAATCGTTCTAATTTTTTACTTGAATTTCCCTTTCCTCTGATCTGCCTAATCGTATACAAATCTTGCATTTGCTCATGATTGAAAATTTCTTTTGTCGAAACCTTATTTCCATCATACCTGTGATCATTCTCATCAAAGGCATTGAACAATCGACGCTGTTCGCATCCATATGTCTTAATGATAGGAATCGAAAAATAAATCACATAGATTTAATTGAATTCTAATTATAAAATTTAAAATTAAATAACGCAAATATAAAAAATGAATAATTGCAATTAAAATATATTAAAATGTCATAAGATGTTATATTCATGGATATATCGTTTAAATAAAATATTTGCATTAAATAATTAATATCAAAATTGAATTAATTAAATTAGATAATTGAATTAATATCAAAATCATTATCGCCATTTTACTCAATAATTTTTTGATAAAATTTAAAATAAAAGATATATTTAAAAAAAATTTATTTCAATACAAAGCTGAAACAAAAAAAGTAAAAAAGTATATATTTAATTATATTTATTTATGTATTTATTATATTTATTATATTTACGTATATTTAATTAGAAAACAAACTTAGAAATATTTAAATTCCATTTATAATTCATTTGTGAATATATAAATGAGATAAAATAAAATAAACTTCGATGCTTTGAAAATTATATTTGAAATTATTTGAATTATATAAATTAATTGAAAATAATGATTGAAAATTCAAGTCGTATAAACGAAATAATAACAAATAACAATTAGTATAGCTGTAGAAAAAGCAGTTCGCATACCTTCAAAACATCGTCGTATTCATTTTCGCGAGGTCGATTCGCCCACGATTCTAAAAATATCGGCAAAAATTAACTTCAATTTTACCTTAAAAGCGATTACGTTAATTCTGGTAACGTTAATTCCATGGCCTTGCTGGAAAAGTTAGAGAAAATTTGCCAGAGAGTAATTTAGAGATGGAAACGAAGTGAATAAGTAAGTAAGTCACCAGCATAACGAGGAATTTTTGAAAGAGAACTTTATTGCTGTCGAGTAAGCAACCCGAGCGTACTGAATGAGAGCAACCGCTGAGCTACTTTAATCTACTCAAAGCATCTCGATGCAAAATTTTATAAGAAAAAAAAAACAGATGAATAATTTGAAAGAATAAAAAAAAATTTTTAAAAACTCAAATAGACTTTGATAACTTTTAAAAGAAAAAAATTTTTTTTCTAATTAACGGAGCGATTAGAAAAGTTCAAAATGACATAATTGCAAAAAAATAAAAATTAAAATCCATATTAAAAAATTTTTAAAATCGATTAAAAAATTTAAGATAAGATAAGACATTTCAAAGATAAGAAAATTATGAAAAAGGAACAAACCTCCAACGTTGTTGTTATCTTCCACGTCGGGTAACTCAGCCATCCCTAAATTTGCTTCTGCCAATAGCTTCGAAGATTTCATCCTTGTTCGAGAAACTCACTGCCACCGCCAAATTTTATCGAAAACTGCAAAATAACTTGGATTTCATTGAGCCGCGCCTGACTTATAGCAATAGGGACAACTGAAAAAAAGAGCTGCTGCGGCCGTTCGGGTGAGGAGAAACCGTAAATAAATGAGGAAATATGACAAAAAAAGGCAAAAAATTTTTTTTTATCGGTTTTTTATTTATTTGATAAAATTATTTGATAATTATTATTTTTATTTAATTATTATATAATTATTTTTTTATTTGGTATAATTATATTTGTTTTATTTCATTTTGAACTCTATTTTTTCAATTTTATTTTTAAATATATTTTCGATAATAAAATTTTTTTTGAAATATATTTTTAATAATAATTACGAAAATATTATTGAAATAGATATTAATTTTATGCCAAAAAAATTTATTAAAAAAATACGTTAACGAGATTCTCAATGCATACTATTAGCAAAAGCAAAATCATTGGCTTACGCCTAGGACCATTTCCTGGTTTAATTCTAGGCCTTGGCCAAAGGCTTGGCCACGGCAAAATCCTTGGCCAAAGGCTTGGCCACGGCAAAATCCTTGGCCAAGCCACAAAATCATTGGCTTAGGAGTATTTCCTGGTTTAATTCTAGGCCTTGGCCAAAGACTTGGCCACGGCCAAATCATTTGCCAAGCCACAAAATCATTGGCTTACGCCTAGGATCATCTCCTGGTTTAATTCTAGGCCTTGGCCAAAGACTTGGCCACCGCCAAATCCTTGGCCAAGCCACTAAATCATTGGCCTATGCCTAGAACTAATTCCTGGTTTAATTCTAGGTCTTGGACAAAAACTTGGCCATAGCGAAGTCCTTGGCCAAGCCTTGGAATATGACTTCAGGCTTGGCCTATGCCTAGGAGTTGTCTTTGGTTTAATCATAAGCCTTGGCCAAAACGAAATCCATTCCTCGGACTGAAATTTGGCATTCGCCTAAGTCTCTATGTCAACATTGGGATAATC